CATTTTACAATCATCAGCCGTGTTATATTGTATTTTAAATGTTACTTTAAGTATTAGTTACGAACGGAAAAATACGTCCAGGGTAGCCGAGTGGACAAGGCACCTGCCCGGTAAGCAGAGGGTGTGGGTTCGATTCCCGCCCCTGGACACTTTTTATTTTTCCGTTCGCCATTACTCTTCATGTTTCACCTTTCCATACCTCATCCTCAAAGTTAGAAATGTCGCTATTTCTCTTTGAAAATAAATTTCGATTTTTATAAAAGAAACATTCGCGGTATAATTTCAATTTTCATTTTACAATCATCAGCCGTGTTATATTGTATTTTAAATGTTACTTTAAGTATTAGTTACGAACGGAAAAATACGTCCAGGGTAGCCGAGTGGACAAGGCACCTGCCCGGTAAGCAGAGGGTGTGGGTTCGATTCCCGCCCCTGGACACTTTTTATTTTTCCGTTCGCCATTACTCTTCATGTTTCACCTTTCCATACCTCATCCTCAAAGTTAGAAATGTCGCTATTTCTCTTTGAAAATAAATTTCGATTTTTATAAAATAAACATTCGCGGTATAATTTCAATTTTCGTTTTACAATCATCAGCCGCGTTATATTGTATTTATGAGGTTTGCCCTTTATATCTACTCGGAAATGAACCCATCCACGAAAAGGACAAATGGCCTCATCAATTGTCAAATTTTCATCAGGTGAGTACCAGGTTCTGAATTTATTGACAAGGGAATAAAACAAGCATCTTACTTAGTAAATTGGATCATATCCTGGTTGTCCATGTGGAATATATAGCATATTATCATTCAGATGGAGCATTGCCTCAAATCTTTCCCTTGCCATTCCTGTCGATTTGCAAAAAGCTGTTCTCATTCCAATGTGGTTTGACCAATACTCTCTTAGCCTTGGTTTTACTACATGGCTCATATGAATAATTATTGCCAAAAATATCATCAATTCAGCAATTGAAACAGCTTTCCACTTTGCCAACCCCCTAGGATTCAGAGGGCCTTTCTTTCTCTCTTTATCAATGGCCAATCTTGCCCTTGAAGTTGGTTCAAAATTCTGCTTGAGTATATTCCATGCTTCCTTACCATCATTTGCATCAGCAATAAGAGTTTGGTAACTTCTTTCCACACCTTGGTAGATAGTGGTGAAAGCTCTAGCTTTTCTCCAATTATATTCTCTAGCCTCTTTTGTTGTAGCATCTACAGGTAGTTCACTTTGATTGTCAATAATAAATTCCCAACAGTTTCTATCAATCAAAATGACTTTCATATCAGTCTTCCAAGTACTATAAATTAAAAGCATTTAGCTTTGGAAAATTTAAAATAGAATCATTCATTTTCCTCCCTTTTTTCCTACTACAGCCCAGAATTTACCACAGATCAGGTAGAAGTTTGCTACTGGCCCATAACCCTGTTGTTGTGCAGAGATTTATATCTTTTTTAAAGAACATCTTCAATAAAATCAATGACTTCTTGTTATCCTAAAATATTATTTAATACACATAGCTTCCACACTCATTTACACATAACAAGCAACCCAAAGAAAAACCTCTATTCTCCGCATACAATTTTTAGATATACCAAACATAAAAAAAAAAAAACTTTTTACAAAAAGAAATTTGCATACACAACTTCTAAATCAAACAGCTAGAACAATTTACATATTTTCTCTTAGGAACTTCTAAAATTATCACCTACAACAGAAACCAATAGTGCACAGGCGCAATCCTATCGCCGCCGCCGCTGTAATACCTTTTTAGCGGTATAGTTGTATTTTTACACATTCAACTGTTGAAATTTGAATTTTAAAATGGTCGAACTATCGGAAGTGTTGTATTATTGATGATGTCGAATTACGGTTTGTTATTTGATAGGCTGGTGGTCAGGACATTAGAAGATGGCCAAATTATAGTCGAGTGTCGAATTAACGAGGTTATACTGTACATATAGTCTACTCTCGATAATTTGAATAAATTCAATATTAAAAGGTCCCCTCGGTAATTTGAAGTTGTTGGAATAGTATTTTACCACAAATAAACATTTGTCAATGACTACAAATGTTTAAAATAATAAATCTTGAATTTTGATTAAACTCTTGTTTACTTGATTTTATTAATATGTAAGATTCTATATGAAAAATGAGGAAAATGTTGCCGGTGACTTTTTCAAGCCAGACCTAACGCGTGAACTAACTAAACAAAGTTAGAGCTCAAATTTCCCACGCCGAGCAAGGCAAGGATATCTCTTACTACCCTATGCGCCACAAATAATGATTTCTTCTCAATTCCCACTATTTAAAATTCATTGGACAATGATACTCACTCAACAAAAAACCACTGACTTGAACACAAGGTAATAAGACCAAATAAATAGTGTGCGACGTTTCGGTAACAACGCTGTTACGTCGCACACTATTTGTTCTTAATACCTTGTGTTTATAATCAATAACCAAATTGTGCCTAATCAATTACTGACTTCTTTCTAAAATGATAATTTGTGAATAATTGAACAAGTGTAAAATTTGAGATCAAACGTGTTTAACAAAGGGCAAGACACGAAACCTCTTAGTTGTTTAAACTCTTGTTATTTTGATAAATTTTCTCTGGTCCCTTGAGTTTCAAATTATCGAGAGTCGACTATATATATAATTTTCAAAATGATATATATATATTTTTTTTCCTGAAAATAGAGCAATCCATATAATCTAATGATATCTATATTTATTATGTTTATTTTTTTTTTATGAAATTATAAATGAAAAAAAAAAAATAGAAAGAGCAAAAGACAATTTCATACTTTATTGTGGTTATTGTGGTTCAGGCCTTTCTATTGACTAGTCATCTTCTTCAGGCTATGGAACCTCACAGGTCTGCCTCCATCACTGAGGGCCTCTTGGCGTCGGGGTGTGGCAGGTCACATAAGGTGCGTAGTCCCTAGGAAGGCCAGGGAGGTCTGTAGGCCCTTTTATAAAAAATTTTTGGCAACACTTTCCAGCACTTACACCAGGCTTGGTATAGCTCCTCACACACACTCCCTGGTGAGCTCCTGTAACATTTCCTTGGTTCGCAGTCCAGGCTGCATGCTACAGTTGGTTCTCAGAATTGGTCCTCAGGGACTGCCCTGCCACAACACTAACATACAGGTGAGCTCTTCTTATTATAAACATTGCTCCCCTACTTTCATTCCATTTATTTAGGCCACCAGCTATTTATAACTAATTTTGTTAGGTTTGTCTTCAGCATCCTCCCCTCCCACAAGCATCAAAAACTAAAGGGATAATTCAAGAAAAGTTTTTGGTGCTCCAATGCGGAAGACATGGATCCTTTAAGCATCCACACATTAAAGAACCAAACAATAAATATCTCTAAAAAAATTTTTTTTAATGGTATATATAAAAAAATTAGCCACTTTCACAAGTTCATGACATTACTATGCACAAATATTCTATTAGGTATTCCCTTTAAATATAAATCCATAATATATTCTACAGGTAAACTCCGTATAATTAGTATAAAAGTATGACGAATCTAAAGTTTTGCGGAGGAGCCTCTTTTATTATACTTTTGCAAGCTTTTGAACCTTTCGGTTCTTCCACAGGCGTGGCTAGTATGACTACACTAACAGGGTATAAGCGCGCTTGAGCCATTATATACAACATATAAATTTACATGCGGAGTGATACTTCAAACGTAATAAAATAGAAATAGGAACTATGACTATAAAAATTAAACTATGTAAATGAACTTATAGATACACATATATCATATATTTACACTACCTCTAAAGAAATAGTGGCAATTGTACAAATGTGTACTATGCTGGGCATTGTGACACGGCAAAATATCAATATGACTATGTTGATGATCAATCTGAATGAGTTTAGGTGAGGTAATTTCATTCCTCTGAGGAATTGGTTGATTCCTCTCTATCAATTACACTACTTTGAACATGTCTACTCTTCTCAAACTCTGAGCCACCTAACTTCTCAAAGTGGCTGATGGAGTCTTTGCCGAACCTTAAACAACTCTCTATAGGAAAGCCTGTAGTTTTCACTCTCTGCACATCATATTAAACATCTTGATTACATTCTTCTATACCCATTCAAATATGAGACTACAGTAGAACCTCCCTTTAGAGGACACCTCTCCACAAAGGACTGTTTTCATTTGCAAAATTACCATTTTTACAATTTAGCAATTCTCCGGTATGAGGACACCTCTCCCTAAAGGACACTTTGGCTCTGCAATTAGGTGTCCTTTACAGGGAGGTCATCAGTAGGAAATCATTTTATTTTAGACACTCTAAACAAAAGGTAATGGACCAAATCCAAATAAATAGTGTGTGACATTTCTGTAACAGCGTTGTTACCATCTTCAGACAAAAGTACTGAATGAGAATTTTTTTGTATTGTATCATCTCGTCAATGGGCCAGGTGGTTACATCATCACCAACCTTAGACGAGGTGCCAGGTCGCGGTGCATCATCCAAACTTTCTATGCCGCTTTCCAATTTTTAACCTACTCAAAAATTCAATTTGAGGTAAACATTTATCACTGTAAACATATTTCATTCTGGAGTTAATTTGAAATGGTTAAACTCCTTCATGATTTAAAAAAAAAAAAAAAGTATTACTGATCGCATTTCATACTTGGTGCAACTGTTTGTTTTGGTCACCATTTTTATTGGAAAAAAATGTTGCCAGATGGTTTCTTGAGAATTTTTTCTAATATAACAAAAGAGTTAAATTTAAAAGTGTATATACATTTGTTTCCTTTTCTATTAAACTTTTATCATTTATTATTGATCCACCCTTGTAGAAAACACAACACTGTTGTATCAATGCTGGCAACCATCAAGGTGTGGGATAAGGTGGAAAGAGCTCTAAATATTCCCCATTCAAAGGAAGATGACTGTGTAGATGTTGCATTGCCAGGATGTAAATAAAGACACCATTCTCATTATTGGAATTTATTAAACAAAAATATTTTACATATATGAAGCGTGAAATTATTTACATAATTACAAAGAAATAAGTACGTAAATTTGCATAGCTAGCTAATCAACTAGAGAGCCAACAAATACACATCATAAATATATGTTAACAATTCCATTGTCATAATCTAACAAGTGTCTGGTATCATAATGGCATTATTTACACAATTACAAGGAAATAAGTAAGTAAATTTGCATAGCTAGCTAATCAACTAGAGAGGCCACTATATACCCCTCATAAATATATATTAACAATTCCATTGTCATAATCTAACAAGTGTCTGATATCATAATGACATTATTTACATAATTACAAAGAAATAAGTAAGTAAATTTGCATAGCTAGCTAATCAACTAAAGAGGCCACTATAAACAGATCATAAATATATGTTAACACAATTCCATTGTCATAATCTAACAAGTGTCTGGTATCATAATGACATTATTTACAGTACCTATTTGGGTCAACCTTACTGATAATCCAAACATTATAAATAAAAACTTTTTGTTTATGTTTTGTATACTGTCTTTTTGTTTGTTATGTTTCAAAATACTTTTAGAAAAAAAAAATCTATATAGCAAAGTGTTAAAAGAGAAAATTCAATTAAATAACCACATAATTGCATCAATTAAAGGCTATGGTTTCCAGACTTGAATTAGTTGGGTCAGCATGGTCCCCGAGAAAGAAATCTAATCCAGCGACAATATAGAGGTCACACTGCGAAGTCCTGGCGACATTCCAACCACCACAAACCTGGCCCATGATTACTATTGTGTCAAAGTACATCCACTATATGGGTGGGTAGACATGCATGGAAGCCACCAGACTAGAACAGGACCCACAACAAATTCTACCATGATAGGCTCCTCTTAATGATACTATGGGATAATGTATGTATTGTAAACCACAACAATTTATCACATTAACATTTAATAATCTGGATAGCTCTTATGGGGCCAAAAGGAAATAAAATAAGAGGACAATTCAATCTCTAAGGCTTTTATAAAATACTCAAAAATATAAAAGGCATTAATACTTGGAGGACTAAGAAATTTCAATAGAAAAACACTAGAAGTAGTAATAAAAATTCTGGTGAAAGCTACAAATTTTCCCCTGACAAGATTCATTGGGGGAAGCAATTTCTGTGAACAAAATTTATAGATGATCACAAATGACATTTTATTTGTATACAAGAAATAGCTCAGAACAAATGTTGCACAATTTGTTAATCCTAATTTAAATGAGAAGAAATAACTGAAGAGATACTGATGACCTTCAGGTACAACCACTGTGCTTCAGGTAGGGCTCAACTATAATGTGGGGAAAGTCTGGAGAAAACAGGTGATGAACATTTGTCGTGTGTGAATGTTCTATGTGAAGTGAATGACATGTCAATCCCTCTGTTTACTGTTTATCTTTCGCCATCATGTTGTCCTGACGCCCTTCTTGACAAGATAGACCTCTCTTTAAAATCAATCAATTTCCACGAGGTAATTTTTTGACAGTTGGTCAAATAAAGCACGGTTGCTTAAATTTATCTTTTCCAGAAGAGATTCTGTTGAAAACTTGGACGAGCAAAGGAAGCTTATTCTAACAAGCCAGTTTCTGAAGAGAGATTTAAATTCCAACCACCCTCTCTGAGTTCGCCGACTCCAGTGTTCTTTGGCATTCTGAGTGTGAATTCGGCAACAACTGTGGTAGGTTTGTGCCCGAAAATATTCCACAGTCTGATGATTTTTCCCTATTGTAATCCATAGCCCGTAGTCTGTCATACGTTCCCACATTCCCCCTTGTTGTTTATCTTGCTCATTTTGTTTGTTGTACATATATTGTTGTAAACTTCTGTCATCCCTTCCACATCGTACCCATCTGTACCAACTTGTTCATATTGACTGTCAACCAGCACATTCCGTGCCCATGTATCACCCATCCCCACAACCTGCGGAGTTTTTCCTTTTTTTGGCTCAAGTTCTACATGAGTCATTTTGTTTTGAGTATTTTAAAAGCTTACGAGCGAGGCTCCACCGATCATCCCTCGACGGCATGATGGACACCCCCCTGGCTAGATGCAATAATAAAAAAAGCGACGCTAATACAATGGACCCCTCTTGGCATGGAATCAGGCTTGTTCAACCCGAGATCCCTCCCACTGGTGAGTATCCCCGGGTCTCTCCCTCTACTTCACCCATCAGGCCTCTTGATTCCAACCAGGCATTCGGCGAAGGGTGGGAACAAATAGGCACCAATTTCACTGAATGTCTAACTATGGTGTATGGGGAGATAGGAACGGTCCTGGGTAAGGACATGGGTGCATCACCTTACTGGGTCATGTACCATAAAATTAACGGGATGTTGACGAGTCTGCAGCACTCCTTGTTTGACATTCTGGCCAACAAACTGAAGGCCTGCGACCTAAAAGTCGCCTCAAATCCGCTCCAGTGACAAAAGTCACGCCGCCAGCTAGTGTCAGTGTTAATCTGACCAAGCCCTCACGACCCAGCTAAGCTCAGATGCTGCGTAACAGTGCCAAACATGTTAAGTTGGCTTCCGCCGATCTTTCTGTCAAGGAGCTAAGGGCAAAAATTGCTCAGACTCCCAGTTTGAAGAACTTGGATGTTGCTGCTGTGACTGGGGCTAGGATAAAAAACTGGTCCTCCACTTCACTAATCCCTTTGAAAAAAGAGGTTTGTTGACAAGGTTAAGACCGCTAACATTGGCGGTCTTAAGTCCAGTCGAACCCTAATTTTAGCCCAGGCCCACTATCTTTGGGGTTCCAGCTGAGAAAACCGAGGAGCAGCTTGCGGCTGATATTAGGTGCCATCCTGCTGTCGAGAAAATGTTGAAAAACGACGCCGATTGTAGAATTGTTAAACTGATAAGGAACGAGGGTTCACCCTCCACAGCGATATTAGAGGTAAACAAAGATATCGAGGCTGCTCTGCTCGAGCATTTTTCCATTGATTACTCCTCTCTGAGACTCCTTGCTCCATTCGCCAGTATCCTCACCCCCTTAAACGCAGACTAATTTGAAATTACCCTCGACATAACATTCTCACACCTCACACAAACATACAGCCAGTGCCTCATAGAGGCCAACCATACAAACAACATTCTCACACACATACTAACACATCCACCCTCACACCGCCCCACTTAACCTTCCACTCTAAACCCTCCCATCCCCTCTCCTAAAACCCCTCATCCTTCCCCTCTTAATCCTCTCACACCCTCCCCCCCCCCCCCCAACCCCCTCCTTCCCGCTTCCAAATCCTCTCCTACCTACTTCTGGCTCATTTGCCAGAGCCACCTCCCTCCCCCCACACACCACACACATTCTACCTCACCGCCCCACACCCCCCTCCAACCGCAACAACCCCTTCCATATATTAATAACACAAGACCCCTCCATCAACATCCCCATCGACACCAACCTATATACGAAAATCTCCATCCCCTCCATTCGCCAGGAGACGCTTCTACCTCGGAGAGGTGAATAAGGCAGTTGAGACTGCTCTACTCGAGTGCGGTAGGATTACAATAGACTACCTCTACCTGAGACTCGCAAGGGCTAAGCGCGTCTTTCCTTGCGGTGTCTGTGGCAGCCTTAGTCACAAGACCCACACCAACGGTAAGAAGTGTAACAGGGCGGCCACTGCACTGGTGCACATCTGTCCGAGGCCTGTGACAACAAGGGTGTGCTGAAATGCCACAGGTGTGGTGGCAGGAACAGAGCTAACTCAATGGCATGTAAGCACATGCGGGACGCCCAGGAGAACTTCAATAAATTAATGGTGCAATGAACATGCTCAGGTGTGTTCAAGCCAATGTAAGACACTCCTTATTGTTTCTCCTCTTTGTGGAATGAATGTTCCAATGAGAAAGCAGATGTGCTATTATTACAACAACTCCTAGTTGATAAAGGCAGCTTGCCTTCTATTCCTTCAATACTCAGAGATGAAGTGTTTCACTCATGCATACAGACTATTCCTTTCAAGACAAATAAAATTGGCAAAATAAAAAGTAAATAGTCTCCCTTCCCTCGCTCAATCCTCTCTTGACCTCATCCATTCCTGGTGCCTTGACAACAAACTCTCCCTCACCCCCCATAAGTCCCTGGTTCTACCCATTTTCTGCAACCCTCCCCATCTTCTAATTGACAACACCCCCCTCTCCTGTCCCGAAACCCGGAGCTTTAGGCAGATCCTACAATATGAAGTTGGTGTAGGACTAGGTGGCAATTAGGGTGATTTTAGTGATTAGGGCGCAATAAGCAGCCTCTGCTAAAAATGCCAAACCTGCACCACCACCCAAACCAGCCCCTGTGGTAACAAAAGTCACCCAGCCAACCAATGTTGGTGTTAAGCCAACCAAACCTACACGACCAAGTTACGTGCATATGCTGCATAACAGCATTAATCATGCGGAGCTGTCTGTTAGTGAAATTGGCAAAAATCACCCAAACTCCCTGTTTAAGGAATGTTGATGTAGCCGCTGTGACTGGGGGGGGGACAAGAAATCTGTCTTCTACTTCGCCAACTCCTCTGAAAATAAAGAGGTTCGTGGACAAGTCCGCCAACATTGTTGGACTTAAAAGTCCAGACGAATCCTATATTCAAGCCAAGGCTTGCTATATTCGGGATTCCTACTGAGAAAACTGAAGAGCAGCTTGTGGTTTTATTATTTTCACACATTAAAAGCCAAAATACACAGGGTAAAAAAAAAATGAAAATAATATAGAAAAGAAAGATAAAAGTGGCCAATGTCAGCAAATCGTTCAAAAGCGGTCGCCATCAACTCTCCATTTTGATTGGCTCTCAGCTACCCAGGTTTAGACTTTGGGGCGCCTTATAAAACGGCACCAATTTGATGCTGTTCCTCTCCCCTCCTTCCCTGGTGTAACTCTGAGCTCCAGAGACTGAAAACGTTGTCCAGGAGACTCTGTAGGAAGATGAAAACTATGGCTCCTCCTCTCCGCGACAGCTACCGCGAGGGTTACGCAAGACTCCGAAACAAATACAATAGGACCATCCTCAAGGCCAAGAGAAGGCACTTCCGGGAATTTACCTCCTCATTCACCAATAATCCTTGGGGTCCTATCCACTGCTTTGTCTCTCGAGGGTTCTCTCTGCGCAGCCCGTTCTGTTCAAGGAGGTTTGAAACCCTCTCTACTCAACAGAACATTCCTGCTAACCTCAAGGACATCCTGGACGTCTACTTTTCAGAGCCTCCTCCTAATTCCCGTCCATCTCACTTCCTCCCCTCCCTCACCTGATCTCCCCTTTTCTCTTCTCGAGTTCCATTTAGCTCTACGGACCCTCAATCCTAAAAAATCTCATGGTCCTGACTTGATGCCCGGTCAATTTGACAAATGGCTACTTTCCTCCTTCTCCACCTTTTTCTTCAAACTCTTCAACAAATGCTTTTCTCTACGCTATTTCCCCAAGCTCTGGAAAGTAGGCCGAGTTGTGCTGGTCCCCAAGAATTTTAATGCCGAAGGACTTCACCTCTCAAAACCGTCCGATCGTACTTCTCCCTATCCTGGGTAAAAGCCTCGAAAGCATGCTCTCCCTTAGACTCTCGCACCACTTTGAGTCCAACGGTTGTGCTATTGTTGCAAGAACTCCCAGTTTCCAAAAACAATTTACTGTCATTACCTGTGCCCCTTGACAGGGTTTGCTACGGTCCAATAATTGAAAATAAATTGGGAGCGGCTGTAATAATAGCAAATCCGAATTTAAAATTCATACTTGTCTCACTTGTCTTGTGTAAATGCTGTATTTGTCCTGTGTGAAGTGAATGACTTGTCAATCCTTCTGTGTACTGTTTATCTTTCACCATCATGTTGTTCCGATGCTCTTCTTGATAGGATAGACAACTCTTTAAAAACAATTAATTCCCACGAGGTGATTTTTTGCGGCGACTTTAATATTGAATCCTATAGATGGTCAAATAAAGCGCGGTGGCTAAATACAAATGCTCTAAAAGAGAAATTGTCGAAAACTTCCTTGACGCTAACTTGCTCCACGTTGTCAACAAACACGGCACGATCACGTGGGAGGAGGGCGAGAGGTCCTCCTCCATCGACGTCACGTGTTGTTCTGCTGGCCTCGCGGACGGGATCGCCGATTGGAATGCAATCAACCAGGCTTTATCTGACCATAAACGCCTCATGTTTAACGTTAATTTTGAACCCCTCTCTTCTAACAGCAATAACAACATACACGTAAACAACTTTAGCGAAGTTACTGGACGCGAGTGACACAACTCAAGTTGATGAAGTAATTAATTTACTAGAAGACGAGGTGTTTCACTCCTGTCTTCAAACCATTCCCTCTAAACCTTCCACCAATATATATTTTTTAAGAAACCCACTTGGTGGAAACCTGAACTAAATCCACTCCAAAGGGCTACTCAAAAAGTTGAAAGGGCGTGGAGAAAAGCTCGTGAGCCTGTTAGAAGCGTGTTAAAGATATTTTATAAGAAATTATATAATAGATTTCCCACCTCTATCAGACACGCAAAGCTTGTCCACCCGAGCATGTTCAACTCCCTGCTCGACCCTACCATCGGCGGGAATCCTCGAGGCCAACAACTCCACAAACCTCCTCACTCATCTCCTTGAACAAAAATTGCAAACATCCTCTCCCTGCCCACCTATGCCGAAGCTAAATAGGAATTTCTCTATAGTGCCCATGGGCTCCTGTGCTCCGGTTCCCCAGCGGTCCTACAAGGATACATCCTTGGACGCCCAGCCCCAATTCACCAAGAAACCAGACGACAATAAAAATTATTTAATTCCCCGGATCTCTTGGACGGCCGCCAAACGCCATTTATCCTCTCCGGATTTTTTCCGCCCGCAGCCAATCAAAATGCGGGATCTCCAGGGCGGCCGCACTCGGCTATTTAACACTTCCACGCCAACGAGCGTCGGATAACTTCAACGAGTCCAGTTATTCCCCCCACCAGTGGTAAGGATTCTGGATACTCTTGGAGTCAAAAGCTTCCCTTGAATTAGGATCGCTTCTTGCCAGTCCCTAGTGACCCCCCACCAGTGGTAAGGCACAGGGATACTGCCTGAAGTAAGGGCACACACTTTTTTTTGGTGGTGTCAGTATATTCAAGGAGGCTATATAGGAATTTCTTTTCATAGTGCTTCTGGTCTCCTGTGCTACTGTGCTCCTGTTCCCCAGCGCCCAGCCCAAATCCATCAAACCAGAAAGAGGATAAAAATTATTTTTTTATTCCCCGGACCTCTTGAACAGCCGCCATACGACATTCATCCTCCCCGGATTTTTCTCGCCCGCGGCCAATGAAAACGCGGGCTCTCCAGAGCGGCCGCAAGCGGCCATTTGACACCTCAACGCCGAGGAGCGCGGTCTCTCCGTCCGCCGCGCGGAAATCCAAGCTCCCCTCCCCAGGCAACGGCACCACCTCGCGCCGCCGCGTGCCCAGCGACTCACCTGTCCACCCCAGCGTACCAGTCCTCCGCTCCCCCACCCGCCGAGGATCCACCCCTAATAGAACCCCCTCTCCCACACCCCTCCTGGATACTACACCCCCCCCCCCAGATACCTCTTCTTCTTCCAGGGAGGACTCCACCAACTCTCCCCAAGACGGCACCTCCACTTCAAATGCGGACTCCTCCAGGGATGAACTACGCTCCAGAATCTTCGACAGTCACCTGGACTGCACAATCGGCGGCCCTCTCAACGGTCAACCAGGGGTGAGTGAACCTGCCCCTCCTCATCCCCCTGCCACCACCACCCACACTCCCTACAGGCTACACCACCCTCGCAATTCCGACTTTTTCATTGACTCCCCCCCAAATATATGCAGCCTATTCCCCACCAACAACAACTCCCACTTCCTCCCTCTTTCCTGGGCCTACCACCTCCTAGCTCCTTTTTCCAATCATCTAACTCCTGCAATCGCCGACCATTTCAGATCCACCCTCGACAAAACATTTGCACACCTCACACGTACATACACCCAGCGCTTCATAGAGGTCGACCAAAACACCAACACCCTGACACACATACTTACGCAAACACCCTCACACCACCCCACTGTCTCTTCCACTACCACGCTAACCCCCTCCATTCCTCCTCCTAAAACTACTCATCCTTCACCTTCTAACCCTCTCCCTCCTTCTCCCCCCATCCCTCAACCCCCACCCACCCCCTCCATCCCAAATCCTCCTCTCCTTCCTACTCCTGACTCTTTTGCCAGAGCCGCCTCCCTTCCCCCTTCTGCTACTCCCTCTCCCCCCATCCCCTCTCCCCGCCACACCACACACATCCCATCCCACCGCCCCACACCCCCCTCCAACCGCAACAACCCCTTCCATATACTAATCACCCAAGACCCCTCCATCAACACCCCCATTGACACCAACCTATACAGAAATATTTCCATCTCCTCCCTTACCACGTCCACCACACCAATCACCAACATACACCGCACACGTAACAGCAACATTGCAATTTCGCTAAATGCACTTGTTCCAAATGTATTCTGGGAACAGACATCAAGGTACGCCTGCCCCCTACATTCAAACCACGTTATACCCTTTTCAACATTCCTGACTCTCTCCCAACAGACGACCTTCCCAAACTACTTGAGCATTCCGTGGGCGCCGGCTGTAGGCTAGTCCGCACAATGGCCGCGCGCAACAACAATTTACACGCAATCATAGAGACAGACACCGCTACAGCCAGAGACCTCCAGTCGCGCTCTCGCCTATTCATAGGGTTCAGCTCCATCAGGTTCGAGCGGACTAGAACTACACACCCTTGCTGCTCCTGCAGCGACCTACGCCAACACAACAACTGCACAAAACGGGCCAAGTGTTTGCATTGTGGGGAGGGTCACACCATCGACGACTGCACAGCAATCTCCTCTCCCCCTAGATGCTTCCGGTGCAGCATTAACAATCATCACCCGGCGGATTCCCTTGCCTGCCCGATCATTAAAGCGGAAGAGTTGGCCTTCCTCACTTCGCATGGAATCCCATGATCAGGTTCCTGCAACTAAATTGCAACCGTTCCCTCCCCTGCTTCCTCTCTGTCCTCCAAACCACGCAGTCCTCTCACATTGATATCCTACTACTTCAAGAGCTGCCGGTCCGCAAGGGCCTTCTCCCCTCTCCCTTCCCCATCCCTTCCGCCTCTTTCCTTCACGCTCCCATCTCACAGAACAGGTGCAGCACCTGCATCGTGGTTCTCAACCAGAGCCTACCTGTGGTCTTCCTCGCCTTTCTACCACCAATCGCACCCTGGCCATTCTCGATATTCCAGGCTTCCATCTCACTATCTGCTCTGTCTACTTTCCTCACAAAGCTCCTTATTCTCCCATCATAGACTCCTTCATCACTCTCTTCGGCTCTCCACCTCCTCCTCGCCTTATATTCGCTGGAGACGTCAATGCCATCTCTTCCCACTGGAGCCTCCAAAAGCAAAACGGGAAGGGTTCTCATATAAACAACCTTCTTGATGCCCTTGATCTTAAGGTTTGCAATTCCAGAGGTGCCATCACCCGCTCCCAAGGCGATTTCTCCTCCTCCATTGACATCTCCAGCATCTCCTCTGCCCTCAGACCTTCCATTTCTGACTGGTCCTCCAATCCCTTTGATCTTTCAGATCACTTCGAGATCCGTTTCTCCCTCCCCTGCCCCCCTCTTACTCTTCCTTCAACCCCTCCTCCTCCCCCATCCCCATTCCCAGACTTCTCTCCCCTCCATTTCCAAGCCCAGCCCCCCCTGGTCCTCTTTAACTCCCTGGCAAGGCACTTCACCAACTCCGGCCACCTTATTTCCACCCTGAGTAACTGCTCCTCTCCTGAATCTCTTGACTCCTTGCTACGATCTTTTTATTCCATCCTCTTTATCAACTGTTCCAGCCACCTCCGCACCCGCCCTTCCAAATCTAACTACCCCCCTCCTGTCCCCTGGTGGTCCCCCCAGCTTCAGTCCCTGAAGTCCTTTTCCCGGAAACTCCGGCAATCCTTCCAGAACAGCTCTCCTCCCCAGCGTGCTATTCTTAAAGATCAGGCCCTTCAGGCAAAGAAAGAATATGTCCGAGCTCTATTTAAAGCCAAAAGGAGACACTTCCGAATGGTCTGCTCCTCCTTTACGCACAACCCCTGGGGGACCATCCACCGCTTCATCACTCGAGGCTCCTCCCGCTCTCTTCCTCTCTCCTCCAACAGTTTTCAAAAATCTCTCCTTCACTACTCCATTAGGGACCGTCTCCAAACCACCCTAGACTTCTTCTTCAACCCTCCCCCCCCCCCCGACTCATGCCCCTTCCACCTCTCCCCTTACCCTCTCAACCCCCCTAACCCCCCCTCTGACCCCCCTTTTACAGCCATAGAACTCTCCCTGGCCCTCCGCCGCCTTCGCCTTAAGAGGTCCTACGGCCTCGACTTCCTCCCTGGTCCCTTCTCTAAATGGCTCGTTGACTCCTTCCCCAACTTTTTCCTGAACTTATTCAACACCTGCTTTTCCTTAAGACACTTCCCTTCCCTCTGGAAAGTCGGTCGCCTCGTCCTACTCCCCAAAAAAACAGACTCGGACGACTTCAATAGCAAATGCCGCCCCATTGTCCTCCTCCCCATCCTCGGAAAGCTGCTCGAGAGCCTCATGGCTTTCCGGCTCTCTCATAACTTCGAGAGTAACGGCCTACTCCACCCCCTGCAATTCGGCTTCCGCGGAGACGCTCCACCACCGATGCTCTCTCCCTCCTACGCACCCATATCAGACGAGCCATCTCCCGCTTTCAATGCTGCCTCCTCATCAGCCTGGATATCAAATCCGCATTTGAACACCTCTGGCACCCTGCCCTATTCGGCCGACTCGAGGCTGCCTCTTGCCCCCCCACCCTACTTCAACTCTACCGCTCCTTCCTTTCCAACCGTTCAATTCACTTTTCCTACCGAGGATACTCCCGCTCCACCTCCCCCTTGAGAGGCTGCGCACAAGGCTCTGTCAGCGGGCCTCTCCTTTGGAACATCTTTTTCAATCCCCTCCTATCTCTTCCTTTCCCTCCTGGTGTCCATGTGCAAGCGTTCGCCGACGACATTCAAATCCTCGTCTCCGGTCCTTCACTTCACCTTCCCTCCCTCGCTCAATCTGCTCTTGACCTTATTCACTCCTGGTGCCTTGATAATAAGCTCTCTCTTACCCCCCATAAATCTCTCGTGCTTCCTATCTTTTGTAACCCGCCCCAACTTCTTATCAATGGCACACCCCTCTCCTGTCCCAATACCCTTACTATCCTTGGGGTCACCTTCGACGACCGACTTAGTTTTACACCTCACCTCCACAGGGTTTGCGAGGAAGGCCTCCTCCCTTCTAGGCAGGGTCCGTCAATGCTCAAATTCAGTTTCCGGATTCGGATTTGTTGCCAGGAGACGATTCTACCTCGGAGTGGTCGAATCTGCCATCACGTACGCCGCCCCCATCTGGAGCGAGGCGGCTAAACTCCGCATTGGTAAATCAAACCTCCGGTCTATTCAGAGGAAATTCTGTATCAACGCAATCCGCGGCTTCCCTTTAATACTCCTTACTTTGTAAATATATCTCCCCATCTTCCTCTCGCCTAATTTTTACCTATATGTATACTTCGTTGTTTGCCCCAATATGTACCTCCCCCTTGTTAATTGTAATGTGTGCACCAGAAATAAAATTAGAAATAATAAAAGAAGATTTGCGGGATGGATTTGCTTCTCCTCGGTCTTCTTGGGCATAGGGACGCTCTGGACGGTCTTATTTCAGCACTCCTCCTGGACCACCGGACCAAGAACTGACCTACACCTCCATAGAAGACCCCTCCTGGATGGCCATATGGAACCTGACGCTGCGCCCAGCACTAATCTTGTTGCCCTCCATAGCCACACCCTAGGCATCTTCTCCCCCGGGGCGCTTACTTGCACTGCCTACGCCTCTCCAACCCCAATGCGCGGCCTGTCATTTTCAGAGACCGGAATCCCATCCAGCTTAATATTTTTGAGCCTTAGAATGCTCCCATTCATGCATGTAGAAGGCGGAATAATAGTAGAGACGCCAACGAGCGTCTTGGACGTCTACTTTTCAGAGCCTCCTCCAAATTCCCGCCCATCTCACTTCCTTCCCTCCCCCCCCTATTCACTCTACCCCTCCCCCACCTGATCTCCCTTTTTCTACTCTAGAATTCCACCTTGCTCTACGGGCCCTCAACCCTAAAAAGTCCCATGGTCCTGACTTGATGCCCGGTCAATTCGCCAAATGGCTACTTTCCTCCTTCTCCACCTTTTTCTTCAACCTCTTTAACAAATGCTTTTCTCTTTGCCACTTCCCCAAGCTCTGGAAAGTAGGACGAGTTGTACTGGTCCCCAAGAAATTGAGTGCTGAGGATTTCACCTCCCAAAACCGCCCGATAGTGCTTCTCCCTATCCTGGGTAAAACCCTCGAGAGCATGCTCTCCTTTAGACTATCGCACCACTTTGAATCCAACGGTCTCCTCCACCCCAATCAGTTTGGTTTCAGGAAAGGGAGAAGTGCTGCGGACACTCTCGCCCTACTCAAGACCAAAGTTTCGGAGTCTATACGTTCCCACCAATGCGCCCTCCTCATCAGTCTCGACATCAAGTCGGCCTTTGACCACCTATGGCACCCGTCCTTCCTTACTCAGCTCACCCACCCTCCAGGCCCTTTACCACTCCTTCCTCAGTGACCATAGTCACCCTTTCTTACAAAAACTGCTCTTTTTCTATGCTTCCCTCCCGAGGGTGCCCCCAGGGATCTAGGAGTGGCCCCCACGTCTGGAACATTGCCTTCAACCCTGTCCTATCCCTTCCCTACCCACCCGGCGTTCATATACAGGTATTCGCGGGCGACCTTCAGATCGTAGTGTCAGGTCCCCCAGGCATTCTGACCTCCCGCGCCCAGCTCTCCATCGATCTCGTCTCCGACTGGTGTCTGGGCAATAAGCTGACCCTCACTCCTCACAAATGTGAGGTCCTCCCTATCTTTACTAACCCTCCCTCTCTGACTCTACAGGACACTGTTCTCCCATGGACGGATAGGCTAAGGGCCCTCGGGGTGGTCTTCAATGACAGGTTCACCTTCGACTCCCACCTCCAATGGGTATGCGACCGTGCCCTGTCCATTCTAGGCCGCCTCAAGGGATGCTGCAACGCCCGCTCAGGCCTCGGGTTTCACGCCCGCCGACGACTATACATTCACCGATGGCTCCAAAACCAAAGAGGGGGTTGGTTCAGGCGTCGCCAGAATTTCCTCTTCCTCCCTTGGGATTCCACCTTTGTCCCTCTCCCTACATCTTGCCACTCACTGCGGCGTGTTTCAGGCCGAAAGCTTTGCCCTCCTCACGGCGCTACGGGACGCCTCCACCCTTCCTCCTAACCTCTCGGTTGGGATCTTCTTGGACTGCCTTTCCCTTCTACACGCCATCTCCAACCTCGATACAAGGTTTCCTTTGGTGTTCAAGATACAGAGGTTGCTCTTTTCCCTCCTCCCCCTAGATCTATCACCCTACACTGGGTCAAAGGCCATGCAGGGATTTTCGGTAATTGTCTAGCCGATCAGCTGGCGCGCTCCGCCGCCGCAGATTCATCATCGCCCCCACTATATACCTTGGCTTCCCAAAACCACCTGCACAGGTTCACCTCGCGCAGCTTCTGGGACCGCTGGGATATTGAATTCCGTGACAAAAACCCCACCATCTTTCAGGTCTTCAAAATCTCCCCTCTTTCGCTCCTCAACGAACATAAGTATATACACCCCTCATCACAAATCATCACAGGTTTTCTCACCGGCCACTCCTTCATTGGATCCTACAGGTATAGGAGGAGGGACCTCTTGCGTGATGTCACGTGCCCTGACTGCCATCTTGCTCCGGAAACAGTAGACCATATCTTTTTCAACTGTCCCCACCTTGACGACCTCAGGGCTACCTTGTTTCATTCCTGCCTGTCCATTACCGGTAGGATTCCAACCACCCTCTCTGATTTTGCCACATCCAGCTCTCTCTTGGCAACAACTGTGGTAGATTCGTGCCTGAGAATTGTCCATCCTCTGATGACTCTTTGTAACTTTTACCTAATCCCCCTTTCTGTCTCCCTGTAAATATCCCTCCTGGAACCCCATGTGCCAACCCAACCTTGTAACCCCTTCATCATCATGCTCACTTGCCATCTTTTCCACCTACCTCCCATTGTTTCCCACCCCTACTGCTTGTAAATAGCCACTTGTACCCATGATCCTATTTACTTCCCCTCCTGTACTTGATTGTGACTAATCAATAAAGTTTTCAGCAGATTTACTTGCCGCCTGTACTTGGTGTACTTGGCACAGCCTTTTCCCCTCAGCCACGACCCTTAGCCAACTCTCTCCGGCTTCCACTTCCCTGTGTCGGTGCCCTCACAGCCTTCCGGGCCTACCAAATTCTGCCTTCCAGCTGCGGCTGGCGGTTTACCTTGTGTTGTCCAGCGTATGTTCTCCGAAAAAGCTTGATCCGAAAGCTTACAGCGGAGGGAGATATAATTCAACACGCCAACGAGCGTGGGGCGCCTCCATCGCTCAGATTCGCGTACCTGACTCCAAACTGTGCACACATCCCTGGAACACTCTTGCTCTTGGATTGCTCTTTCTACTATTTCGCGTGGATTACTCTCTTGGATTATTCAGCTATGGCGGCGGATACCTCCGCTTCTTCTGCCCCAACTCTGGGTGAGTTTCCCCGGGTCACTCCTTCTTCTCCTCCTCCCTTAACTCCTATTAACTCTAACACGGCATTTAGGGAAGGGTGGGAAGAAATTAACACATCTTTCAAAGGCTTCCGTGAAATCTTTCAACATGAGGTTGGGGCAAGAATTAGCGGGGACCTAGGCTCCCCATCTAATAGGTGTTTCTTTCGAAATATGGATGGTCTGCTCTCCGATCTCCAAAACACTGCTGTGGGGATCCTCCAGCATAAGCTGAAGTGCTGCGACCTTAAAGTCGCAGAAATCAGGGCTGAACTATCAGCCTTAAAGAAAAAAACAACAACCGTCGCTCCCACACCTCCTCCCAAACCAACCCCAGCGGTGACAAAAGTCACCCAGCCAACCAATGCAGGTGCTAAGCCTGCCATTCCAACCAAACCCAGTTACGCGCACATGCTGCGTAACAGCATTAATCACGTGAAGCTCGCTTCCGCGGACCTCACTGTTAGCGAAATTAGAGAGAAAATCGCCCAGACTCCCAGTCTGAAAAACTGTGATGTAGCCGCGGTGACAGGGGGGGACAAAAAACTTGTCCTCCACTTCGCCAACCCCTCTGAGAAAATGAGGTTTGTGGACAACATTAAGTCCGCCAACATTGGTGGACTTAAAGTCCAAACAAACCCCACATTCAAGCCCAGGCTTGCCATCTTTGGTATTCCCGGAGAGAAAACTGAAGAGCAACTTGTGGCTGATATCAGTAGCCATCCCGCAGTTGTACCGCTGCTGAAAAGCGGCGAAAACATAAAGATGGTAAAATTAATTTAAAAAGAGAATGCCACCTCCACCGCGATAGTTGAGGTTAACAAGGATGTTGAGACTGTCTTACTCGAGCGTGGTAGGATCACGATCGACTTCCACTCGCTGAGACTCGGTAGAGCAAAGCGCGTCTTCCCATGTGGTGTCTGTGGCAGCTTAAGTCACAAAACCCACACCAACGGAAAGAAGTGCACTAGGGCGGCTAAATGTAGCCACTGCGCTGGTGCACATCTTTCCGAAACATGTGAAAATAAAACAACTTTGAAATGTCACAGGTGTGGTGACAAACACAGTACCAACTCCATGGCGTGTAAACACATGCGGGAGGCACAGGACAATTTCAATAAATTGTGGGTAAAATGAACGTTTTTAAGTGTGTTCAAGCCAATGTAAGATGCTCTCCATATTGTTTGTACTCATTGTTGAATGAATGTCGCGAAGTCTGCTGAATGGAGAAGGATCTGTTCGCTTTGTGAGGTTAACCCCTGGGGCGGCGTTTATAAATTTATTAAAGGCTCCACCAAGAGGAAGCCTCTTTCCTCTATCCTGGTTGGCGATGATCTCACTGACAGTCCGCGGGACACTCTAGAACATGTATTAAAACATTACTTCGGCCGCGTCCCACCCGATATAACAGTAGAGCATGTTAACTTACATAAAGCCGTGCAGTCCACCTCTGATAACGACCCACCGTTCTCAGAAATAGAACTGCTACTGGCTGCGGATAAGGTTAGCCTTACTTCTGCTCCTGGCAGTGATGGTATGCCACCTCTTCTCATTGTTAAATTAATTAAAAAATTCCCGACGTTCTTTTTAAAGATCTTTAATAAGTGCTTTGAAACTGGACACTTTCCAACCCCTTGGAAACTGGGTGATGTCATACTCATTCCCAAAAAAGGTGGTGAGGACTTTCTCGTGTCTCATCGGCCCATCACGATGCTGCCTGGCTTAGGTAAAATTCTAGAGCGTCTTATCCTGGCCAGGCTCTCGTGGCGAGCTGAGAGGATGTGTAAAGCCCAGCCAAACCAGTTCGGTTTCAGGCCTTGCAGATCTACTGTCGCCGCACTTCTAAATTTAAAAAATAATCTCTCCCGGTCGCTTCAACATAGAAAATCTTCTATTCTTCTTTCCTTTGATGTGAAAGGCGCTTTTGACAATGTGCTACACTCCAGCATATTGCGAGCTCTGTGTATGAATGATTGTCCTAAAAACCTGTTTGTCCTGATTCGCTCCTTCCTTAATAACTGTGTTGTCAGACTGTCTATGAATGGTTGCACGGTCACGAGGCAGGTTTCCAAAGGCTGCCCGCAGGGGTCAGTTCTTGGGCCGTTTCTTTGGAACCTTGTCTTTGACGAGCTCCTCACGCTCAATTTTAAAAAATGTGTACACCCGCAGGCCTACGCCGACGAACTTGTTATGGTGGTGTCGGGCCAAGTTACTCAGCAACTTGGAGCGGCGCAACTTGCCATTAATGAGATCACGAGGTGGTGTGGCCTGCATAAACTGGAACTCAGCGTGAGGAAGTGTCAGGCCATGCTCCTTCTAAGACGTACTGGCAGGCTACTTATACCTAGCTGCGATCTAACCATTAATGGTCAACCCATTCAATGGAGCAACTCAATCAAAGTGCTGGGAGTAAGGTTTGATCGGCGTCTCACCTTCCACCAGCATGTGTGTTGAGGGTTCAGGCAAGAATTCTCAAGCGCCGAGCGGCGCCGAGGTGACGGCGGGAACCGGCCGAAACTGGATCTCGCCAGTTTGTTTTGGTGTCGGCTGGAGGGAGGACTAACTCCGCGTCTAGCTGTGTGTGGTATTCCCTCTATGTTCCGGCACTGGTTATAAATAAAACCGGTACCAAGGGAGCTCCGACGACTCAGAGTGGATTATTGACAAAACAACGGGCACAACACAACATGGTGGCAGCGGTGGGATCCGAACCCACGCCTCCGAAGAGACTGGTGCCTCAAACCAGAAGCTGGAGCCTACCCTTCAAAATGTGGCATTTTATTCCAAAAACGGTTGGCCCGCCAAATGTCAGCTCTCTCCCTTAGAACGCTCGTTCTACGATGTTCGCGACGAGATAGGGGAAGAGAACGGCTTACTAATGAGAGGACTGCGAGTGATCATCCCCTCTAACATGCGAAAAGATGTTTTGAACCGCGTCCACGCAGGTCATCAAGGAATAACAAAATGTCGAGCAAGAGCAAAGGATCATGTTTGGTGGCCAGGAATAGGTCAAGAAATCCAGGATATGGTAAAAACCTGTGAGAAATGCATAGAGAATCAACCTCTAAAGCACGAACCACTCATCCCCAACGACTTTCCGGAAAGACCGTGGCAAAAGGTCGGGATGGATCTCTTCCATTACGAGGGAAGTGAGTATTTAGTCGTCGTAGACTACTTTTCTCGATTTATCGAGGTCGTACGACTTACTAAACTTTCCTCGGAAGCTGTGGTAGATCACTGCAAAGCTATCTTTGCTCGTCATGGCATCCCTGACATTATAATCAGTGATAACGGACCACAATTTCGCCCATCAACAACTTCAGCTTTTACGAAGTTTGCCTCTGAAGTTGGGTTTCGACACATCACTTCCAGCCCAAAGCATCCACAATCAAATGGTCAAGCAGAGGCTGCTGTCAAAATTGTGAAAAACCTGATGAAAAAGAATAAAGATCCGGTCCTAGCACTCATGGAGTATCGGGCAACACCCCTGGCAAACGGACTTATGAAAACGGCTATATGAAATATGAAAACGGCTTTTGACAGACGCCATGCGGCCACGAAAAAGGCGGAACTAATTGCAGGAGAGAAAGTTTGGGTGAAGGATCTTCGAGCGTGGGGAAGTGTCCTTGAGAAGGCTTCAGCACTTCGCTCATACATCGTGGAAACTCCTGTAGGGACCTACAGGCGGAACTCTCTTCTTCTGGCTTCTTCCCAACAACAGGTCGACCCCAGTGAGACATCTCCTGACAGTGAACTCCCTGCTGAAACGGAGGAAACTCCGGGAAATGAACTGCCTGCAGAGGAGCAACAACAGCTGCCAGCAATCGCTCCAGAGATAAAGCAGCTGTCTCCCTCACCTGGGAAAGTGTCGCGGTATGGGAGAAGAGATACAATCGTGTCCAGCGCTAACCTCCTCTAAACTTTTTGGGGGAGATGTTGAGGGTTCAGGCAAGAATTTTCAAGCGCCGAGCGGCGCCGAGGTGACGGCGGGAACCAGCCGAAACTGGATCTCGCCAGTTTGTTTTGGTGTCGGCTGGAGGGAGGACTAACTCCGCGTCCAGCTGTGTGTGGTATTCCCTTTATGTTCCGGCACTGGTTATAAATAAAACCGGTACCAAGGGAGCTCCGACGACTCAGAGTGGATTATTGACAAAACAACGGGCACAACACAACAATGTGGTTGAGGTTTGCACCAGAGTCCGCGGATTTCTCCCGCGTTTGACAGCAGCCGCCAACTCCAATTTTGGCTTTGGTTTCCGTGCCCTGAGGATGCTCTATCTACAGGTCGTGGTCCCAGCCATCTCTTACGCTTCTCCTGTGTGGTTTCCTAATCTTAAACAACGCTCTTTAAATACTCTCTTAAGCGCGCAGCGCCCGTTCCTCATCAGGACTTGCCGCGCGTTTAAATCTACTCCCAATAGCTCTCTTATATCTCTTTCACGTGTTCTTCCTCTCGATCTGGATGTTGGCGCTAAGGCGGAATTGTATTTTAAAAAGCAGTTTTGTTGACGCTGATTTTCCAGTCGAGCCTCCCCCCTGCCCTCACCTGCTTCCCTATCCTCCCTATTACTCCGCTCCCATTAATATTCCTGATCTTTCGGCTGACGTCACCTACTACACAGATGGTTCCAAGACGAAAACTGGAGTTGGCACAGGCCTATATAGAGTGTGTGAGAATGGCTCCATGAATGAACTGCGTGAAAGCTTTGTCCTGTCCCCGTACTGTTCTGTCTTCCAAGCGGAGGCACTTGGCTTGCTTAAGGCACTTGAGGACGCTTCAAAGCTTCCCGACAATTACACCATTGAAATTCTCCCGGATAACCTCTCAGTTGTGAAATCTGCTCTAAACTCCAGAACTGGCAACCTCCTGGTCAACAGAGCCTTGTTGCTGATTTCACAACTGAACCGCAATGGGAACAGATGTACCATACATTGGATCAAAGGCCACAGCGGGATTTTTGGTAATGAAGTAGCTGATGTGCTCGCGAAATCATGCTCGAGTTTGACAGTCTGGACTCCCTCAGAACTCGTCTATTTTTTATAGCGGGGAGGGAACTCGGTTACACGCCGAGGGCGCTTCACGACTTCACCCACAGTTGTTTAACCTGGCGAGCCTGTATCGATTTTCTCCTGGCTTGCGACAGGCTGAGACCGCGGATCCGAGAGGTGGAATCAGAGGAGATTCCCGACTCTAATTCCACCTAAACTTTACATCAGTGTTTTACCTGCATATGCATGTATCACTAATTATGTATGCGATGTCAAACTTAATTTGCCAGCTTGCTTGTGGACGGGATTTCACCAAGCGCCGTCTCTAATCACCCAAGGGTTAGAGGGCCGCGGTTGAAATTGGACGCTGCACGCTGATTGGTCGATTAATCGCGCGACGTCACAACCGGGGGTTTTGTGGTCTGGCGGCCGCTCATTTTCATTGGTTGGCAAAAGATGCGATTTAGTACTTCCAGATTTTGTACTCTGAAATTACTTTCTCCTCAAAAGAAAAAATTTTCTGGCTCCTTTGATAAGGTCCTTTTTTTTTGTTCTACACCAACATCCCCAGGCGCTGTGTGCTCTTCTCTATATATCCATTTTTTCTATCCTGTCCTCTTCTAAATCTTTTTCCTTCTTTAATTCTTTATTTTATTCTTACTATTATTATTAAAATATTTTTATTCTTTCTTTTTCTAATCTTACTTAATTTTATTATTAATAATACTATTACTTTAATTTTTCTACTATTCTCACTTATCTCCTTATTTATTTATTCAATTATTGCCATTTTTATTTTTATTTTATTATTATTAGTAATTCTTTCTCTTTTTTTTTAAATCAACCTTTTCACAATTGCTCACCTTTCTTAACTTGAAACCTCTTCCTCTCTTTCCCTCTGACCCAGGGATACTCACCTATGTTCTTACAGCATCAGCACGTTTCACACTCTCCAGGGGCGCCTTGGGGGCGCCTCGTGTCTCTTCGCGGATGGGGTTGGAGATGCGTCTCGCGCCGCCCCTGCTTGCGTTGCGTTGGGTGGCGGGCTTGGTGGTTCCTTGGGTGTTGTCGCGGGGGATATTGCGATGTCAAACTTGTAATTTGCCAGCTGGCTTGTGGACAGGATTTCACCAAGCGCCATCTCTAATCACCCAAGGGTTAGAGGGCCGCGGTTGAAATTGGACGCCGCACGCTGATTTGCCGTAGTCAGACTGATTCATTTCAGCCAGTAGTAGAGCTAGAAGGCCATCCCATTTGGTCAATTAGCTATAACCATTGTCAGTCAGAGCGTGGGGTGCGCCGAGTACACATCGCTCCCGTCGTCGGTCATCTCTGTGACGGCCGCCATCTCCCGCTGCCAATTGGAAAATTCGTGCTCTCCGCAGCGGCCGCAAATTCCGCTATTTTTTCGAGTGTCCGCCAATCAGAAAATTCGAGCTCTCCTGAACGGCCGAAATTTCGCGGCTATTTTTACTTTTTTCAAGTTTTTGCCGTGAAGACAGCTCTTTTACCAAGCCCCCGCCCGCCTTCCCTACCTCCGCGGCGATGTCCACCGAGCGGAAGCTCTGCAGCGGACGGTCGACTAGGCCTAAGACACCCCGTGCGCCGCCGCTGACTGCGCCGCGGGCCCTACCGAGACCCTTCCCGCCGGCCAAGACCCTCAGCTGACTTACTCCCCAGATCATATGCGCAACGCCACTCAGCGCCTTACTCTGGACCCGGATAACCTAAAACCTGTGAGTTCATCTCAATCTCGCTCTCTTTCTCCCTCTCCTTCTGAATCTGAATCTTTTTCTTCCTCCCATTCTTACCAACCTAATACTATTGTTGACATTGAGGACTTTCCTTTGCCTACCATTTCCTTGGAGCCGCCACCTAATTTTGTGGCCTTTTCTAAATGTACTACTTCTAGCAATTGTTTTGATATTTTTGATTGGGCAGCCATCTCAATTAAGACTATCTCTAATTCCATTTCTGAATTTTCTGCTGAACTTGGTTCCTCAGTTCTTTCTGAACTTAAGGAAATTCTTTTACATCTTAGGGCCGACTATGAACGTTGTATCTCTGAATTGGATTTTTCCTCTGGACTCTTATTACAGATGGCTTCCCAATCAAAACAGCAGCAATTTGCCCACCCACATGTTGTTGTTGATGCCACCTCAGCCACTCTTGCTGAGCCTGGTATCTCTACCATAAGTACACTTGCCACCCCTGTTGACACTTCCGCTACTGCCGCTCCCCTTTCGTACTCTGCCATGGCCTCAAGCCGTCCTTCTGTGCAACCTGCTAGCTCAGCCCCCTCAGCTAGTCGGGGACCTGTCCCTACCCAACCAAAGACCACCCCATGTTTACTTTGACCAATAACCCGTTTCACCTTACTATCACACAGGACCCCAAGGAGGCTCAGCCTCTTAGCCTTAGGCTTTCTAATATGTCTTCTTTCTCCGCTTTGGGGGTTCCTGGGTCCCATATAAATACTTCCAGGTATAAAATTACCATACACACTAGGTCAAAAGAGGATTTTACTAAACTGCACCGTAAACTGGTGGACCTTACCAAAAATACAAATATCAAAATATCTACACCTCCCTCTTTCCACCATCGCTTCACCATCTTAATGTACTTGACATTACCAATGAGGAGGATCTTACCACCATGTTTGTCCGGTCGGTCGAATGTCAGGATACTGACTGCCGACTCATCCGAACTATCTCAGCGCGGAACGGTCGGGTCCATGCGGTGTTTGAGACCAAAAACATCGTTGCCACCGCTCTGGAGGGCAAAAAGAGAATCTATTTCGGATTCTCTTCTCTGTCCATTGACAGGACTAGGGCTACCTTCCCCTGCAGGTCCTGTGGTAGTCTCAGGCACAGGACCAATTCTTGTTCTGGCCCGGTGCGTTGCCTTCATTGTGGGCTTGCCCACAAGATTGCGGACTGTCCCACAACTGGTGCTAGCCCCAGTTGTTTCCGCTGCAAGCCGGATCAGAATGGTCACAGGGCAGACTCATTTGCCTGTCCGGTCATACGAATGGTGGAGGAGAGTTTCCATAACTTGGTTCAACACACATGCAAATCTCTTTTTTTGCAATTAAATTGCAATCGTTCATTTGCATGTTTCCATTCCATTCTCCAGGAAGCTTCTTCTAAAGCCGTAGATATCCTACTGCTGCAAGAACTTCCTGTTTCAAACAACCGACTTCCGTCTGCCCACCCTATTCCACCTTCCTCTATCTTGCATGCCCCCATTTCTAACAACAAATGCAGTGCGGCTATTGTGGTGCTGAACCAAGTACTACCGGTTCAACTCCTCCCTGCGGCGACTTTAATATTGAATCCTATAGATGGTCAAATAAAGCGCGGTTGCTTAAATACAAATGCTCTAAAAGAGAAATTGTCGAAAACTTCCTTGACGCTAACTTGCTCCACGTTGTCAACAAACACGGCACGATCACGTGGAAGGAGGGCGAGAGGTCCTCCTCCATCGACGTCACGTGTTGTTCTGCTGGCCTCGCGGAAGGGATCGCCGATTGGAATGCAATCAACCAGGCTTTATCTGACCATAAACGCCTCAAGTTTAACGTTAATTTTGAACCCCCCTCTTCTAACAGCAATAACGACATACACGTAAACAACTTTAGCGAAGTACACTTCAGCTTTGGTCGCGCCGACTGGGATTTTTTTCCTCACTTTAATAAAAAAATGTCTAGAATCTCCTCCTTACTGGACGCGAGTGACACAACTCAAGTTGATGAAGTAATTAATTTACTAGAAGACGAGGTGATTCACTCCTGTCTTCAAACCATTCCCTCTAAACTTTCCACCAATATTTTTTATTTTAAGAAACCCACTTGGTGGAAACCTGAACTAAATCCGCTCCAAAGGGCTACTCAAAAAGTTGAAAGGGCGTGGAGAAAAGCTTGTGAGCCTGTTAGAAGCGTGTTAAAGATATTTTATAAGAAATTATATAATAGATTTCGCACCTCTTTCAGACACGCGAAGCTTGTCCACCCGAGCATGTTCAACTCCCTGCTCGACCCTACCATCGGCGGGAATCTGGACCTTGGCAGTCGACCAGGGGTGAGCTCCTCCACCCTTCTTCACCCTACCTCATCCACACATGTACACACACCACTCCACCTACGCCAACCACCTCAACAACACTACACCCTTGACTCACCTCCACCCACATGTGATATGTTCCCAACCAACAACCCCTCACACCTCCTACATCTAAACTGGGTCTATCACATCCTTGCCCCTTATGCTGACTCTGTTGACCCCACCCTTGCTGATGGTTTCCGCTTTGCTCTAAAAAAAATTTCGCACACATCTCGAAAATACACCAACAACGCCTCCTCGAGGCCTACAACTCCACAAACCTCCTCACTCATCTCCTTGAACAAAAATTGCAAACATCCTCTCCCTGCCCACCTATGCCGAAGCTAAATAGGAATTTCTCTATAGTGCCCCTGGTCTCCTGTGCTCCTGTTCCCCAACGGTCCTACAAGGATACATCCTTGGACGCCCAGCCCCAATTCACCAAGAAACCAGACGAGGATAAAAATTATTTAATTCCCCGGATCTCTTGGACGGCCGCCAAACGCCATTTATCCTCCCCGGATTTTTTCCGCCCGCAGCCAATCAAAATGCGGGATCTCCAGGGCGGCCGCACTCGGCCATTTAACACTTCCACGCCAACGAGCGTGAATCATCATTCACGTCCCTGGCCACCGAGCAGTGCACACCTACACTCTTGGATTACTCTTGGATATTCTCAACTATGAACGCGGCGGATTTTCTGAATGCTTCCCTGGCTCTACTGCTACCCTACTGGTTCTACTGCCCCCTACTAGCCATACCACTACCAACCTCCCAAAACTGAAGAATACAAGGTCACTACTGCCTTTTAGGCTCTCCCGGACGGCCGCCAAAGGTTTATTTTTATTTTATTTTTTTCTCTTTGTTAGTATCTAACCAAACATTCAACCTAGCCTCTTTAAAATATTGATACATTTTTTAGTCACACTAAAATTGTTTATACAACTGTTTACACATGCAACTAAGGAGCGGGTTATATACCGCCCTCAGTCAATCCCCCCTGTTTACCCTAAATACCCCTCAACTAACAACTATGGACAATATAAACGCTACGCCCACCCATAACACATACTGTACAACACCCATAAACCATCCTACCCACGTCTTATCTGAAGTTTTTAAATATCCTGAATTACCAGATACTGAACAACTCAATACCATGACTAACGATGACATAATAGATTGGGCTCGCAACACTAATATCATTATATTACAATCTATAAAATAAAAGAAGACAAGATACTTGTCTTCTTTTATTTTATAGATTGTAATATAATAGCTCTAAGAAGAATCTCTTATTCTTACTAATATCATTCTGGGCAAAAACCTCCAGCATCACAAATGCGATAACACTATATTCGATCACACTGCAGCAGCGTGCGAAGGCATCATTAGAGCATTCAAACACACACTAACACATAGAAAACAAGAACTTCACTACACCAAAAAAGCATACGACGAGATTATGAACAAATATTTTTTACACAACAACAAATCACACACCCCCACTAACATCTCCGTCCCTACACCCAACACCAAAGATAGAGTAAACGAACACACTAAACATGCCACCAACCTCTACAATCCTCTACAATGCATGGCGCCCTTTTGTTTTGACATTTATTTTTTTTTTAGACAGTGGTATTGTTTCCGCTAATCCAGAGTATGATAATTTTAAATCAATCCTTGCCAATTCTTTTCTTACCCAACCTTTCATCTACAGATCGTACCGTTGCCATCCTTGACCTTCCAAACCTACACCTAACCCTTTGTTCTATCTATATCCGTCCCAAATCAGACTATAACTCAGTAACCACCTCCTTGACAAATCTTTTTCACTCCAATCCGCTACCTAACCTTATCTTCGCTGGTGACGTTAACGCTGACTCCACCCGCTGGAGCAACCGTCCCCAACGAGGCAAAGGATCCCACCTTAACCTCCTTCTCGATTCCCTCGACCTCAAGGTTGTAACACCCATAGTACTATAACCTGGTCCAATGACAAACATTCTTCCTCCATAGACATCACATCCATCTCCTCTCATCTCCTCACCAATATCTCCGACTGGAAGGCAACGGATAACTGTTTCTCTGACCACTTCACCATCTCCTTTTCACTACAAACTCCTCTTGCACCACACCCCACCTTGCCAAAACACTCTCCATTACACCCCGCACCAAAATTCCATCTTAATTCTTACATTTCAAGCTCTCTATTTAGAAATCTTTCCCCACTCCTCTCCCCTTCAGGGGACATCTACAAAAACCTCATCTCTAGCTCCTCACCCTCTGACCTAGACACTGTAATAGAAAAATTACACACCTCCATCTCCGACGCATGCACAGATAATCCTACTCAGATACCCAACAAACCTAGTCACCCTGCCCCAGCTACGGTGGTCACCATTTTTACAGCAGTTAAAAAGGGAAACAAAAAAACTTCGTAGATTATACAAATCCCTCAACCCCCCAACAGAGATCAGGTCCACAAAGATTTCCTCCATATGAGAGCTTGGTTTTACAGAGAATGCAAAAGAGCCAAAAGAAGGGAATTCAGAATGTTCAGCGGGTCCTTCGTAAACTACCCATGGGGAAGCCTACACAAATTCATTAAGAAAGGCTCCCAGAACCCCAACCCCCTCTCTTCCACCTCTTTTGAAAAGAACCTCCTCTCCCACTCAGTCCCGAAATACCTCAACTCCATACTAAATACCTTCTCCAATCCACCCCCAGATACTAGACCAGCACACTTCCACTATTCAACACCCTGTCATCATCCTATATCCCACCCTGACCCACCTTTTACTTCAGTCGAATCACGCATTGCATGCTCCTCCCTAAAACCCAGGAAAGCACCAGGCTCAGACCATATCCCTGGCAAATTTGCCAAGTGGATGGTCTCTTCATTCCATGACTTCTTTTTGCTCCTATACAATTCTTGCCTAACCCTCGGAGACTTCCCCATTGCTTGGAAAATAGGTAGACTCGCACTCGTCCCCAAACCGCACTCAGATGGTGATTTCACTTCTAGCCACCGCCCAAATACCCTTTTTTCTGCCTTCAGCAAAATATTTGAGTCTCCTCTGCCACCGTTTATCCCATCTACTTGAAAACAACAATCTTCCAGAACATCCAGAACTCCACTATTCCATGCGTCGAAGACATGACCATCCTAGGTGTAAATTTTAACTCTCGCTTCTCCTTCTCTCCTCACCTCAACAAAATTTGCGACAAAATCCTCAATCTCTTCCCCCGACTTTGCTCCTGTGCAAACAACTATTATGGTTTCGGTTATAGGGCTAGAAAATTATTTTACCACTCCGTTATTGAACCAATACTCTCATACGCAGCACCAATTGGGCTGAAGCAGCAGACACCATAGCAGGCGAAGCCGTCTACGTTCCACTCAGCGCAAATTCTGTATTCATGCAATACACGGATTTCGCTCAGTGCCCACCTTCACCTCGTTTGCCCTCTTACGAGTCCTACCTATTGACCATAAGCTAAAACTCCTCTCTTCCCTTTTCAAACCCTCCATTTCCCTCCCCTTTAAGGTTGAACACCCCCCCACCTCCTTATAGTTACCCGCAACCACACCTTCTCCGTGACCTCTCTCACCTCTTGATTCCGGAGTCCACCCCGGATATATCATACTACACTGATGGCTCCAAAACCTCTTCCGGTGTTGGCTCAGGAATATTTAGAATGTCATCCCTACCCTCCACCCCCTGCCTTGAATCTTCCCTATCCTTATCCAAACACTGCACAGTATTTCAGGCAGAAAGCTTTGCTTTACTTACAGCACTAAAAGACATCCGTACCATGGATCACAACCTGTCAATAGGCATTTTTTCAGATTGCCTATCCCTCTTATGCACCCTTTCAAGGCACAGATGCTTACACCCCATTGTCCACAAATGTCAGATACTATTATACGACCTACTTCCCACACGCAAAATAACACTCCACTGGGTAAGGGGACACTCTGGCATCGAGGGCAACTGCCGAGCCGATGCTCTAGCAAAGATAGGAGCAGCTACAAATCTCACTAACCCCAAATACAAACTGGCCTCGAAAAAAACAAAAATAAACTTCCTCTCATCCTAACAATGGGAAGCCTGGGAAAACAAATTTAAGACATCCAACCCCACTATACTCAGCAACCTTGGCATGACACCCATTTCCCTCAAAACCACCCACAAACATATAACACCTGACACAGCCATCACCACGGGTTTCATCACAGGCCACACTTGGATAGGTGCTAACAAACACAGTAAATCTAAACACGACAGTTCTTCATGTAGGCACTGCTGCGGACCACCCAAGACAACAGAACACATTTTCCTAGAATGTCCACCATTAGATAACCACAGATCCATACTATTCTCTAACTGTGTGAAACAAATAGGGTACATTCCCAACACTACCAAAATATTATTTTCCAACAAGAAAATATGGAAGTCAGTGCTCACCTTCGCACACAGCTGTGGTAGATTCTCACCCTCAAACAAACCGCCCCAGACTGACTCCGAAATAAGCACCTCAGAACCTGATTAGTCAGATACGAGCCCAATCTATAAAACCTCTCCTTACAACTCCCATTCTACACCTACATTTGAAAATCGCACTAGCTACAACAATCCACATCCATGACCTTTAACCCACTAACAGATTCCCCCCATACACCTTTTCAACATTGGCCTCCCCATATATAGTCATGCATATTCAACACCACCTATTAATGTTCCATGCACCAATCAACCATAGATACACCCTCACATACACTAAAACCAAAGGCCTAACCCAGCCTCACCTGGAGGTTGTCCAAAAGTTGGTTGAAATATTACTATGAGAAGGTGTGTATAGCACAGGTAACATATATTATAGTTCTTACATGTTCTGATAGGTCAAAGATAGTTTTACTGCTCTATATTGGCTTATAAATAATGGACAAAATATGCCCTGTCCTTTCTCCTTTGGATTTAATGAGAGCTACCTGGTTTTTCTACTAATATGTAGACCCCCCCTAACACCACCTTCTTTCTGGACAAATGCTATGTTCCATTCTTGTATATTTTCACAATATGTGTGTGCACAGTTAAAATACATTCCTACAAATTTTATCTAGGGAATCCTATTGGTGGTTTGGGCCTGTCGAAGAGCTCCAATAATCAAAGACATCTGCTAGATCAACGGGGCAAGCCACCTTTTGTGGACATAGCAGAGAAACTTCCTGACGTCCAATGAAAGAGAACTTGTAATAATCCTCACATTACACTCATGTCAGCCAGGAGCTTGACCTACCAGAGGACCAACCAACCCAACCTCAATGATGGACTATTGTTATTAGATGGTGGAACAACCTCTGATGGCATTCAGGGTTGATTAAATCCTGGGAAACCTTTCATAGGAACTCAATTGGCTGCTTGATGCAATTATTGGTGCAATATACCATAGAGTGCTTGTGTATCATTTTTTTTGCCAAATAAGTTCTGTAAAAAAAAAAAAAAAAAGAGGGGTGTACATATGTAATAAAATATGAGCCAAGTTTAAAAATGGTGTGTAAGGCTCAGCGTAACAAGTTGCTGGAATGTCATATTAGGACTGTGGCCTGGCGGTGTGAATATTGACAGTGCTTCTTGTCACTCACAATGAATCATCACTCAGTAGGAAGCTACTGCATAGGAACTCTATTGGCTGCTTGCTGAAATTATTGATGCAATATACCATAGGTTGGATCTGACCTTCAAAACCCTCTCTGGGATAAGTGAAGGTGAGGGAGGGGACCTTGGTAGCAGTCTTGTTTCCTTGGCAGGAGTTCCATGTGAAGGCTCCATAGCAGTGCTGCAACAAACAGGTCCTGGCAATGATTGTTGGAATCCAGTATAAAGGAATGTTTCACATTATTAGGGATCATTTCTGCAGTCTCAAATATCAGGAGTCACAATTATCAGGCGAAACAAATATAATCATGATTGGGTGACAGAAGAAGACATAATTAGTCCTAATTATCTGGTGTCACAATTATCATATATCCCAATTATCAGCAGTTTCAATTATCATCTTATTTGCCCTTTACACAGAATCATCTGGGTCTCCAAAAACAACCTCTCTGATGCAGAACTCTCTCTGAATGAAGCCATGAAAAATCTGCAAAAGATAACAGAGAAACTGAAATTATTAATAAACATCAGCAAATCTGAAATTGGCCTCTTCACCATCAACAACCACCTTCGCCAGTGGACCCCAAATATTTCATTGAACAACTCAATAATCCAATATTCCAGTTCCCCAAGATATCTTGGTGTCACTTGACCCTGCTCTGACTTTTAAAAAACATAGTGACACCATGATAAAACAAAGCCGATTCACAATCCTGAATAAAATATCAAGCTTAACTGAGGTGCAAATGCCAATATCTTACGCACAACGTACCTTGCACTTGTAAGACCTATTTTGGAATATGCTACACCAGCCTGGATCAATGCAAGTAAAACCAATATATCCAGAATCCAAGCGCAGCTCAAATCATCAGGGGGCTTCAAGGATCTTGCCCAAATCGCATTGCTGAACTCAAATACAACCTTCTTTCCCTGCAACTAAGGAGAAAAATCTGCTTTTCAAAATTCATAACCAAAAACTCTCCAGAAGAACATCTTATAGGAAAATTTTTAGAAATTGGGTCCCAAATCAAAGACTAAAACACCCAACTCCTCTCAACATGGCTCACAACTCTAATCTCTTAGACATCCCAATTAATCCCAAACCCAGAACTTCCTATCCCCCACACAGAACTCAACAAACTCATCTGTTTCCCTCATCTACCAGCCAATCCCCACAAACATGAAACTCAGCCAGAATTACTTGAAGCTCTTGGCCTCCAAATCATTGAGGAAAATAGCTCCCTCTTCGACATCACAATTTACACTGACGGTAGCCAACTTGAAACTGGACTGTCTGGAATTGCTATCAACAAAGATAAGAATCTGGAAAAAATTTCCCCTTTCTACCCTAGACACCTTTCAGTTTATAAATTGGGACTCTCAAGAAATTCCCACTAGATATTATAACAAATGGTTATGAGATAAGAAAGAAGACAAATGGTTATGAGATAAGAAAGAAGAAGACAAATGGTTATGAGATAAGAAAGAAGAAGACAAATGGTTAGAGACACATGACATTGTGATAACAAAAGGTTAGAAATGAGAGCAATAAAAAGAAACTTGCCATCAGACTTTCTCGCTGATGCTCTAGCTCCCACATCTGGGTGGAATCTGCCAGTTGTCCAGGCCTGGCAAACTTATGTATCCTCCACCATTGATGGAAGTCTGGAACCACAGAATTGGTTTCACTGAACAGTCTTCTAGTTGGGGTGAGTAAAATATCAAAGGTAACAATAGAGTGTAGGTACAAACAACATTTGTCTACAAAGGCCCAAATTGCCACTTGTATTGGTGTCTCCACATTGGCTCTGCAACTTCAGAAAGAGGTTTGATGTGGTGTTGAAATAAAAGTTATTATAAAAGTATAGATATTATCTTGCGCTACAACACTCAAAGTTCTCAGTGTTACATGTTCCCATGCAATTTTTATATATTTTTAATATATTGGTGAAATTTCTTGCAACCTTTGGTTTATATATGACAATGTTATAAATCTGGTTTCCTGGTTTTGCACTCTGAATCAAACAAAGTATTATTTTGATATTTTTTATTGATGTCTTCTATTATTCTATCTATCAATTTGATCTTCCTTGAGTACAAAACTCCAAGACATATTTATCCGTAGGTTCCTGAATCTGCCCAGATACACTCCAGGCTACATAATCAGATTAGAAACCGGTCATATCTCATTGAGTGTAACAGCTTTAAAATTAACCCTGAAATATTGGCTGCGTGTGTTGAATATGAGCAGTGACAGATTGTCGCGTATGTTTTAAAACAACACGGGAACTGTCTAATGCTTCAGGCACACCCATCGGTTTCATTAAAAAGCTTACCAATCTGCTTAACAATAATGGATCCCCTGCACTTGTTTCCTGTGATGATCCTGAAACGCTGAGGAGCGCGATTACAGGGCTCTTAAAAACAGCGGCAGACCAATCTATACAAAATGACCTTACAAGAATGGATAAATCTAAGCTATACTCTCACTACAAAGACATTCACATATCTTTCATGACGGAGGGATACCTTTGAGGGAATTTTCCTTTCCCGGTTGTGAGACTACTTGCACAAGTTAGAATACTTTCAAGTTTTTTTAGAGAAAACCACACCAAGATGCTCTGCGGTGAGGACCCGATTTGTGCCTTCTGTAATTCAAAACTAAAAAATGAAATCACTCACTATATTTTTGATTGCTCTGCTCTGAAAGAAGAACCCATATGCTCAAAACTGGCAACTCTGTGCTTCACTCCCAGCAATAATTGACAATATGACCCAGAATAAGTATATTTCTACGGCGTTTTATGGTTTCCACAAGTCCATATCTAAGAAGAAGGCCAAGTGACACTCACTCCTCACTTTCTTACTGCTACTTTTTTGTGTTGTTTTTTCTTGCTTCCCTCTTTCTCTTTTTTTTCTTCTGTTTATATTGGTGTTTCCTTTGTCTCACTGCTTTGTTCTTATGCATACCTCTGGTGAATCCTGTATAGGGTCAGTGACCCTTAATAAAGGCTTTTTGTTGTTGTTGAGTACAAAACTCCTATATATTTTGGATTGAAATGGAACTATAGTTCCAATACATTCCTGTCAGTATATAGAGGTGGCAATAATGTTAAGTTCATGTCCAGGATTTGTTGTTATCTACTTCCATGGAGTAATTGAAACATTGAAGGTATCTACAACAACAACAACAAAAGCCTTTATTAAGGGCACTCGCCCTATACAGGATTCGCCAGTTCACAAGGGATAGGGAGAACACTGAGGCCTTTTTCCGGGATATAGTCTTATGGAATCCAAATATCACCATCGCTATATACCTATTCTTTGATATTTCATTAATCAGTGCCGGAAATGAAGGACAAAGTTGCCCCGTTTTATCATTTAGTTTTCGTCTTTCCTCAGACAGAGCAGCACAGTCAAATAAGTAATGCAACATCTCCGTTGTTATTCCTGATCCACAGAAAGTGCATTTCAGGTCTTCACGCCTCAATAAAATCAAATGGTGTTCTCTGAAAAAAACTGAAAGGGTTCTAAATTGTGCAATTAATCTGATGATAGGAAAAGGGAGTTCAGTTAAGAAGTATTCTTCGGTGGTAAACGTTGTATATATGCCTCTATAGTGGGAATATAACTTTGATTGGGTTATTCTTGTTAGGTCGTTTTGTATTGTTTGCTCTATCGCAGTTCTTAATATTCCAGGGATAGCATTCCTTAGTGAATCAGGATCATTACAATAAGTAAGCCACGAGGATCCCTTATTATTAAGTAAATTGCTTAATTGTTTTATAAAACCGATGGGCGCACCTGTAGCACAGGATACTTGCCTCATTCTAGTTAAACATATTTGAGGCAATCTATTTGTATCCATACTAAGCACCCTCAGCCAATATTTCAAGGTCAATTTCAGAGCTGTTATTATTAATGAGACGCGGCCTGTTTCTGGTCTTATTATGTATCCTGGTGTATATCTAGGCAAATTCAAAAACCTACGAATAAATGTATCTTGTATATGGTCTAATAAATCTTTATACTCTGTTGCCCAAATTGGAGCAGCATACATCAAAACAGCCATCACAATTGAGTCAAACAGTTTCATTGCAGAGTTTAGTGAATTAATTTTTGATTTTGCCAATATTGGGGTTGTAGCATTTATTGCCGCAAGTGCTTTTCCTTTGAAAAAGTTTGTGGCTGAGTGGTTTTAGTTGTACTGACCAGAGGGTATCCCAAGTAATTATATCTTCTTGTCACCATCAGAGGTTTACCATTCCAGTACCATCTATCTTCTCTTGAGGGTTTACCACCATTGCGAAATACCATAACCTTCGATTTGGGCTCGTTCAGTGTCATATAGTTCACACCAAGATATTCTTTCAATATATTAATCTTTTTTTGAACATCACGAAATTCCGGAAGGTATACACCATTGAAGGTATCTAATATTGTTTGCTCACTTCTCTGAAGTCATCCACATATCTTCTAAAATAGTAGACATCATTTTTAAGTGAATTCAGAGCCACAATTTCTAACTGACCTATAGAAATACATTTGGTGAAACATTGTTGCACATTTCATTTGTTCAACATAAATAAAGTATGTTGTTTTCAAACAAAATTCTACATAAAATTCTGATTTTGGCTTTTTTTTTATCACATGATGCATCCATAATTGTG